TTGCAAGCTGCTTTGGCATTGCCTGAACTCCATATCATAGCCCAGAACATATTTATTTTCAATAATTTGAGAGCTTAAAAGTAAGCGTCATTCATATTTCATACTCCTGCACAATTACAGCTGCCAGTTCAGTACAAGAATGTTGTTGCTGGTCTAGTGTGGCTGTGCCTCCATCTGTGTGGTTTTGAAGAGTTCTACTTTGCAGCATGCTCACATTGGTGTTTGTATGAGAAGATGCTGGAGACATGCTCCCTATGTAGATCATGTTTCGAGTAGTTGTGTAGCTTCTTCTTTTATCTTCAGTGGCACCCAGCGGGGTGAGGACACTGCTGCTGCTTTCTAGTTGAGGTCCCAGTCTCTGTTTCCTATTTTAAGCTCATTTGCCCAAACAGGAAGAACTGGGAATCATGCCCAGAGGTATGATTTCATCTCAGAATCATTCTGTCATCAAGAGTCTAACTTTATCAGTCCTGAAATGGGCCATCTAGCCAGAGACTTCACAAGGAGTGAAACCACCACAGGCATTCATCTAGATTTCTTCTGTTTTCAGTGGAAAGGTACCTCAGAGGTACCTCTTAGCTTGTAAGATCAGTGTTAAGCGTAGGGTGCAGTGAATCACTGGTCGCTCTTCTGGGATAAGCCGTATGGCCAGTGTACCACAGCTCCCTTCCAGCTAGGCTGAGGTAAGGTGAATCCCTCAAGATAGCTTAGATAGCTTAAATCCCTCAAGATAGTTAGGCAACCACAACCTGGGAACCTTTCCCAGGTGCAGAGCTGGCTGAGGAGTTACACTGCGATGTCCTGATAAGGTGCCCACTTTCTCTGGGAACATCATTTGCAGTTGTGGAGGTGTTTTTGTTTGTTTGTTTGAAGGACTCCCATTACTCCAGCCTAGCATTAGGAAAAAAGCAGTAAAAATTAGCTATTATGAAAAAAATAGGATTTGTTCCTTCTCAGTGGTATTTTGTTTAAAAGATGTCATTGAGCAATTCCATTCTAATGACGACATCTAAGTGTGTGTAATCCTGGAGCATTAAAAAAAAGGCAAACCAAGAATCTATTGATCTCTTTATCAGCATGAATGAGGCAAAGTACTCTGCATAAGATACTCAGTATCTTCAGTGTGTGATACAGCCTCAAAACATACCTTACTTTGTAATAACTTCATTTGAGAACATGATCTTAAGTTGCCTTGTGGAGACAGAGGCTTAGAGCTATTCCCATATTATTAACCTAAGAAGCCCTTGACAGATCTGAGGATAAAAAATTATTCCCTGTCTGACCACTGAACTACGTGTAGTTCATTGAGGTGAGCGATCTAATCAATAACTTCTTGAGATAATACCATCCCTGTCATTGAATGGGATGAAGTTGGCAAAGGAATATGTTATTTTGTTGCACATATATTTTTTTCTTTAGTTACAGAAAATGCCTGTTATTTTCTCTAAATTTTACGCATAATTTAAAATTCATCACTTACATAGAAGGTTGATTAAATATCAGTAAAAGGACTCAACAAGCTCTCCTAGTGAAATAAAACAATTAAGGATGCCCTCTGAACTAGTCCCATAAGCAAAATTAATAAAAGACTAGATATTGCAGAGTCCACAGAGCCAGTGCTTTCCCAGCAGAGAGTTGAGTCTTCATGTTGAGAAGCCTTCATTGGAGTGCCTTGACTTGGTCTCACTGCCTCCAAATCTGGAAGATGTTAAATCAAATGCCTCAACTTTTAGTGGAAAGCAAGAGGAGGGAAATGAGAGCCAGGGCACAATTTCCAGACTGTTTAGGGCACAGTCAATCAAAACAGAACCTGATACCAAGGAGTTAATTGGTAGTCAGTGCAGATTAGGCAGTTCTGGTATCAAATGCTCCAACTTAAAAATGTTTTATAACAGTTAGATTCTGGACTCTCGGAGGTGTCTCAGACATGGCCCATAAAATGACAGTTTCAACAGTTCAGTCTAGACACAGCAAAAGATGCACCTGCTGAAGTTATAGTAATGAGATTTTCCTTTTCAAAGGTTTTTTTTTTCTGCAGTTGCTGCAGTTTCACCATCTAAAAGCACCTATCGGTAGAAATCTTACACAGTTTAGCTCAGCAAAAAAGTAGGTCGCAGAAATTGTGTAGGTGAAGGAGCAAGTGTCCACTTCAGAGTCACCCTCCGAGTTGCCCTTCCGGCAGCCAGTATTGCTCATCTTGTCCAGAGTGAGTTTTAACCTTCTGTCCTCACCTGAGCATCTTCACATTCCACTTTGCTGTGCAGAGACTGCAGCACCCAAAGAGAAACCATGTCAACGGGAGCTGGTTGGGACTTGAGAGTCCAACTGACTGCTTATCCCTCACGTTTGCCTTTAACAGCACCTTGTCTTTCACTCCACATGGAACACAATTTCCATGCTCGGCAAACAGCACGTGTCCAACGCCGAATATCTGGAGCTGTCTTTATGGAAGGACTCCAACTCAGAGATCAATTCAAATTAGTGAGAGGTTAAAATCATTAGAACTGAGGAGCTGGATTTACCTTATGAATTTGATTCATTTTAAATAGGAAAGTTTTTTTCACTTAATGTTGCCCATAACAACTCCTGGTCAACACTGCTTCCAGAAAACAGTTGGTACAGGATCCATTCACATACTGGGGTTTTTGTGCACTGCCAGGCAATAATTCTCTAATCTTTCGTGGAACATAAATAGATTTGAAAGATGGAATGACATATGTCTAGAAATTTTTTTTTAAAGTCCGTTGAACAAAATGTCATCTGTTTTCCCAAGTGTATTCTTAATAGAACAAGCAGGTAAAATATTATTAACCATGTAATTTGGATTTAGCCACCTCACATTTTTTGGATTAAATTAGTATGTTTTTATATTTCTTTCTCTGCTTTGCAAACAATTAAGCTGTTTTCGTGGCAATACGGCTACTAGAGCTAGATTCCCTCAGGAGCTTCCTATGGACTTCAGTGGTTGAAATCTCAATCAGAACATTCACAAAGCAGTTTCAGGGATCTTCTTCTCCTGGGTCAAGACAATAGAATAGGCCTAGTTTAGAGATGGGATGTTCTCCTGGTGTTTTGGGTGTGCAAAAGGAACAGTGCATTTAATGGTGCATGTTACTACTAGCTTTCTGCAAAGCAACGAGTCTAAAGTCAGCCATCCTAGACGCTTTGTTTTATTTGCAGAGTTTCTCATGCCTTCATTTTTTACACTTGTCTTTCTTCTAGGGAGAGCATTGAGAAAAGACACTCCAGCCATCCTTCGCCAGCACCTATCCATCCAGTGAACTCACTCGGACATAATCGCAGCTCAAATGAGCAGATCAGGAGCCATCTGAATCCCGAGGTTCGAGAAAAAGAGAAACCCAAAGAACGAGAGAGGGATCACTCTGAATCTCGGAAGGAAATTAATGTTGAAGAGCACAAGGTGAAGGACAACTATATTTCGGAGAAAGAAGGCCTGAGCCATGAAAGCCGAGTGGTGGAAGAGTCTAAACAAATGTCCAGGGTTCCTTCACCCTATGCTAGGCCCCCCGTTGTGGAGAGCACCAGGCCCAATAGTACTTCAAACCGTGAGACGGAGAGGAAGAATGAGCCGGGCTACGATAATCCGAAGAAAAGCAATGAAGTGAAAGTGAAGGAGGAGCGAAAGGAAGACCATGATGTTCAACCTGAGGGACCTCAGACTCATAGGTCATCTGATCAGCCACCACCTATATCTACATCTAATGTCCATCCAAGTCCTTTAGTGTCTATGCCCATGACCGTAGGTGTGACTGGTATACATCACATGAACAGCATCAGTGGCCTGGACAGGACTCGCATGATGACGCCTTTTATGGGAATCAGCCCAATTCCTGGTGGAGAACGTTTCCCGTATCCTTCTTTCCACTGGGATCCAATGAGAGATCCCTTAAGAGATCCTTACAGAGAGCTAGATATTCATCGGAGAGACCCCCTGGGCAGAGACTTTTTGCTAAGAAATGACCCCCTTCATCGTCTTTCTACGCCAAGATTATATGAAGCAGACAGGTCATTCAGGGATCGGGAACCTCACGACTACAACCACCACCACCATCACCACCACCCTCTCTCTGTTGACCCTCGACGTGAGCATGAGAGGGGCAACCACTTGGATGATAGGGAGCGGTTGCACATGCTCAGAGAGGACTATGAACACGCACGCCTGCACTCAGTTCACCCTGCCGCCTTGGATGGGCACCTGCCTCACCCAAGCCTAATCACTCCAGGACTTCCCAGCATGCACTACCCCAGGGTCAGTCCCCCGACGGGACACCAAAATGGCATCCTCAATAAAACTCCCCCCACAGCAGCTCTCAGTGCCCCTCCACCTCTTATTTCGACTCTGGGACCTCGGCCTGGGTCTCCCAGAAGGACTACTCCTCTGTCAACAGAGATGAGAGAGAGGCCTCCTTCTCACACCCTCAAGGACATTGAAGCTCGATAAGCAGAGGGAGACTAAATAAAAACCAGAGAAAGAGGGACAGAACATTGTAAATGAACATAATATAAAGACCTTCTTACTAGTCATTGATACAGACTGGGGATGTGACCCACTGTACAATATGTATAGACCTGAGTGCAAAGATTTTGAAATGGGGTTTTTTTGTATATTATATGTTGAAATTTTCCAGATCTTTTAGCCAAGTCCATATGTTCCTCGTGTCTCCTACTCTTTATTTTATTTCTAGTTTAAAAATTTCAAAATTGGAACTGAAGAACAAGACATGAATCTGAATGATTTGACTAGAAACAGACCACCACCAATGTCAACCGTACAAAGCTCTTTCAGACCAGAAGTGAAGACAATTGTAGATATTTATGTAAAAAGATTGCTTCATGGATTAATGGTTCATATATGCAAAAAGGGTAAGATGAAAGCTTTACTTTGTACAAATGTAAATAGATAAAATTAAGTAACATAATACATTAATACTTCTTAAACTGTGCTATTTGCAAACTTAATATTGATCAACACAGACTGCTTATGCTGTGTTACATATATTGTTATAGACAGCTAAACCCCTTCAACTATGCAATGAATTTTAAGGCTTTTCACAAAAGCCTTTATAACTCAAAGGAGCCTTTTCAACACACAACATAATTAAAGTCATATTTTCCCTGAACGAACTCATCTGTAATAGAAACCTACTTCTCTTGCTCATTTTGATGAAGAAACAGCCCATTAGAAGTGTAACTTTCTGTCTGAACCCCTGCATCGAGGCGCTGCTGTGGCTGTAGCTGATGGATTCCTTAGGGCGCGTCAGGATTAGCGATCTGTAATCACTGATAGTCATGACAGATTGGTTTTCACTCACATTAATCTGGGTTAAACAGAGTAATAACCTAATGCTGGATATTTTCCAGAATTTTCAGCACTTAACATGTCAAATTTCTTTTTGGAAGAACATCTGCTTATAGCCGTTCATGTCTGGTTTTATTGCCAGTGTGTCATTTTTTTCTTTGTACACACACTTCTTTTTTTTTTGTTAAGTGATTTTTAGCTACATTCAGACAAATCCTACAAGAAAGCTAATACTTTTCTAAATGATCAATATGTTTTCACTGTGGATCAGTAGTTTAATTAATGAACTCAGATACAGATTTCCTAATGCAATTTACTGTATTTCAGTTGGTAATAAAGTCTGTGAATAGTTAACAGGTCAGCCTTGTTGTTCCCTCATCATAGAAGATGGAAATAACATGAAGAACGTGGTCCTTTTTAAAAATATGCATCAATCTTCTGAGATCTGTCTTTTCATAACACACTTTTTTATAATGCGTTAAGTTTCTTGTCTAAATATTTGGAGAGAATATGACTTTATCAGCGAGAATTCAATATCTTGTCTACTGGACTGTAAAATATATGTATGAAATAAAATTAGTTCCATTGGTCTTCTAGTGTATTAAAGTGCTATCTGAAGTTGTTACCCTGTTTTGGCAAAAAAAAAAAAAAAAAAGAAAAAAAAAGGAGAAAAAAGTGAACTACAGACAGTTGTTTCTAATGATCAGAGATCTATTTTAGTAGTCAACTGAAGGTTTAGTTGTGAGCTTCAGATTTTGTGAACTCCAGATGTTGTGCAGTGGTTTTTTGTTTTGGGTTTTTTTTTTTTAAGAACAAAAGGAAAAAATACAAAAAAAACCCCAACCCTGAAGAATATGTACACTGGAACCGTAGTGGTAGCTTTCAGTATTGTAAAGAGATTGTTATATACAAACCTTTTTGCTGTTTATCCTGTATGTAATAAAGTCCTTTCTAGATCCTATGTGAAAAGAAAAGTGAAGCGGCTCTCAATCTTCAGCATGTTTCCTCATCAGCGAAGACTTGTGTAATGTAAATTGTGCCATGTTATTAAAAAAATGTGAACTAAACTGCTAGGTGCTTCTTTGTGTGGAGTACCCCATCGCTGCTATGGGGAAGAAATACTTTTTCCCCCAGGAGTGGGTTTTGTTCAGAAGAAATAGCTATTAAAAATGTTAAGGAAACGACAAGCTTTTAAAAGCCATTTTACTAAAATTATTATAATAACCAGGAAAAAAGGAACAAAAAGGAGACCAGATCCTTGGCTTGTCCAGATTCTTTAAAATAGAGTAACACCCTACTTAAATTAGCTTTTAATTAACTGACCACTTTGTCTTTCAAGATACTCCCGTACTTGCACGTGGCTGTGTGGAAGCCCTTTTGTGAATTTGTGCAGTTCCACAGAGGCATTTTCCCAGTTTTCATCAGCTAAAGATGTGGCTGTCGGTTACTACGAACAATTTGTGCATAAATACGTTCAATTTCTTGCAAACTGTTCAGTTCTTCATAGTACAGTTTTCATGGTGTCCTTTTTGGGGGAGAAAAAAGCCAAAACCAAGATCCTCCTCATGATACATGATTTGCAGGACGTTTTTTTGACAGGTTTGTTGCAAACACTTAAACCTTTATCCAAGTTACTTTGACAGAGGTAACTTGTGACACTGAAATTTGCTTTCTTGAGCAAGACTTAGGGAATATTTCTTCTCCCTCGATAATTGCCAGTTGTTCTGGTAAGCAATTAAACGTACACAGCCGTATAGTCAAGTTTGGTTTTGTTTCTCTCTTCAGCCCTGTCACATTTCTGCCTGAATTCTACTCTTACTCCCATGTAAATCTGATGAAAGTGAAGTTTCCCTGAATTTCAACCATGTAACTAAATAAAGACAATAGCTCTATGTCTTTTTTAAAATCCCATTTTGTATAAACTGCACAGAATATACAATAGTAGCATTTTTTTTTCTGCAAGGAACCCATATCTCAGTCTTCTGGATGTGCTTCATTAAAAAACTTTCCCAAGTTTCTGAAGGAAATCCATTAGAGATGGCTGTAGAAGGATGAGAACTGTCAGAGTGAGCTTGTACAGATGCAGCGTGAGGAGCCCCATGAGAGAGGGTCTGGTGAGAGCCTCATCTTCAGGCTCATCTCAGAGCACTGGAACAGGAGCCCAGACAGCTTCGTCAGTGTCTTCAGTTGGAAGAAATGTGGTATCTGGTTGTCCAGACTCTGATCCCTGTCCTCCCAGGTGCTGAGCATACTCCTGCTGATGGCCCTTAATTCCCAATGAAGGCAGTGAATCCTCACTCCCAGAAAGCACTGAGGCATTTCGCTGCCTTTGAATTCAGTACAATTTAAGTGAAAATATATATATATATATATATGCCTTTGAAGATCAGGTGTCAGGTCTTCTTACAAGAGTGCTGATGCTCAGAGGAGTATGTCTGAGAGGTTTGGTAAGAGATGAAACAAGATTTTTAATGGTTGTAAACTTTTTCAAATTTATTCATTGCTTTTCCAGAGTTTGATACAGGGATGTTCACTTGCAGGTATAAACAATTTAATCTTTTTAGAAGGGCTTTCCATTCAAGACGTTTGTCTTAAATCTTCTAATTTTTAATCACTAGTGTTTAAGAAATGAAGTTTGTTTAAATGCCATGCCAGATACCACCTGTAGGAATGAAATCAGAAGGGTGTTACTCTGCAGGGTGTGAGAGATTTGGATCATAGAAAACCCTGAGCTACTAGACTTAAAACACCCAGGACCTTTGCTTTATGCTTTAGGGATCCCATCTTCCCACACTCCAACTTTTCTACTTATATCCAAATTTCCTACTTAGCAGCTTGCTATCACCAGTTGAGATGCCAACTAAAGCAGTGTACAGGAAGTGATTCTTTGAAAGCACTCAAACCATTTGTTTCCTGATACGATGTTTATTTTATGCAGCACCTGGTCCCTTCTTTTTTAACCTTCCATATTGTCCTCTTTGCCTTTCCTTACTGAATATGTAGCTCTAACCTGATTTTCTGCTATCCATTCCTTGCCGATACTCTCTTCGCTTTTGGCCAGTCTTGTTCTCTTTCATGGCTTATGATAGTTAAATTATTGTAGACACCAATGAACACTGCAGACAGTTGTTTTTTTTTTTTTCCAGGAGCCACAGACACTGTAAATTTTTGTTCCTTTTTACCTTTACCTGTATGAGCTCATGAAAAATGCGTAGTCCGTGCTGGACTGGCAGAGAGGTAAATGGAGGCTGGGGAGGATTTTACTGAAAGTATTTTAATTTGCTGCAGCTGTGCCTTGTTAAGTAAATATTTAGCATGATTCTTGATAATTTGAACTCTTTAACTACTGCTTCACACGTGCAGGTGACCTCTGCTGAAAGCCACCTGGGGCATTGGAACAAGGTAACAGACCATTGGTTATATTCCATTTACAGAGGAGCTACTTGGCTTACTGCTTTTGTTTCTGGCAAGGAAGAAGAGCGAGCTGTGGTTCCAGCAGTAACCAAAGACTCACATGATACGGGGTTTTATTATTCCCATGGTGATGCAGTTAAGTTTCATCTGGATAAACAACTTGCTGCTTTGGATTCCAGCTGCCATCTTTGGAGGCATACTCATCCATAGCTTCAGAAGGTGATCTGGAGCAGGATCCCATCTTAACTGGTCTGAATTGCATTTTGAAGGTGACTCGTCCTTGACTCCAGATGGAGAGTAGCCTCTAACTTAGCTGGTTGAGAGAAGCACATGCAAATGAGTGGTGGTACTACCTCCTTCCTTGTTGATTTTACAGTCACATCAGATGATCTTTCCTTTGCACTGTAAAGTACCATAGTCATTCTTTGCGTGAAGCTCTTTGGGACACAATCCATCTCTTACTATGTGATTGCACCGTTCTTGGTGCCCTGACTGGGGCAAGTGAGCATTCCTCAGTGCTGCTAGAATACAAAAAAACCTTTGGTAGTACTAGATACCAGAGTGGAAACTGAAGGCCTCAGTGGATCAGCCATGGTAACCACCTATAAAAGCTCCAGATTTTTGCTAGCCAAGAAACAAAGCTGCAGGTGAGGGCAGACTCTTCTCCCTGTGCCCTGTCTCCGTCCTGAGTGGCTTAGACTGCTTGTGGCCATGGGCAAGGTGGAAGTTCCCAGCTGGCAATGCCTCCAAGTGCTTGTGGTGGAGTTGGCAGTTTCCAGCATGGTCCCTGCCCACCAGCTGTGTGTTCAGGGGGGTGTGTGGGGGCTTTCTTCTTCTGCAGGTATCTTGTGACTAAAATAGTTTAGCACAAAGATATCTTCTGGTCATAAAGAATATGCCCCTCCTCATTCGTGTACTATTTGCCTATAGAAACACGTATTTATAGACATCACAATGCACACACAATGTCAGGCACAGTGTCACAGGCATAAAGCTCTATATAGCAAAGCACAGAGTATGAAATGGTGATGGCACCCTACAGTCACCTGTGTCCTGCTTGCTGCTGAGGCCTTTCTTGTAGATTGTGATCAAGGAATTTGGTGTTCCCCTGCTGTTCTGGTAATACAAACTTCATTATACTATTATTATCCCCATTTTATAAATGGGAAAAGTGCATCTGGGAACACAAAACTCAGAGTCACCAGTGCAATAACAGCCACCTACTGCCTGAGTCATCCCAGGAGTCACCGAGGAGAGCTAGGCTGCTGCCTTAGTCACCATGACACCAAAAAACCCTGTATCAGGTAAATTGTGGAGTCAGCAGTGGTAAGAGATTAATTTCTGGATTGCTGTTTTGCCTTTAGAAAGCATTTTTAACCCTAACCCATGTTAACAACTTCCTGGGGCGCTAGATTTGCTAAAAATTACCTCCATGAAAGAATGGGTTTATTTATTGCTAATTCAATACCTCAAATATTGACCCAGGTTGATAAGGCCTGTGGTTGTTCTGGTTATTGAGGGCAGTTCTGTATTTTACCACCTAGTGTGGCTTGTTTGTCATGACTGCTCAGGATTGAAACTCGCTCAGAGCGTAGCATGTTTATTGGTTGGATTTATAGTATGTTTCTCTACTGAAAAGCTTGCATTTAGCCCTAGGAACCTAGCCATCTATTTCCAATCATCTTTGTTTCAAGATAAGAAAATAATTAAGCAAGAACTTAATTAATTGATTAAATACTTAACCTACCAAATCTACAATATTACTGTATGTTGATGAAATGCATCTTCTGCTTTGCATCTTCAAAGCCCTTAACTAGTTTCTGTTGAATCGGTGGTGGTTTGGTTTGTTTTCTTCGATGTAGCAGAGATTACATTAGCATCAAAAACTCTGAAACTAGATTTTTTTGGGTTTTTTTCTTCCTTTTAAAGACAAATAAAAATGCAAGTATAAACTTCCTGGGATTTTCAGTGGTCCCTATTTTTGAACAGCCTCTCTGTATTTGGGGCAAACACGATGCATTTGGAGTTCATTTGATTTAAAACAAACAAAACCCAAAAAACCCACCCTGCCTCTAAAACAACCACCAGCTACTTGTCCTCCAAAAGGAAAGTTTTGTCTCAGTTAATACTAGAACGGCCAAGCAGAGCTGAATTTATTTTAGCCCGTTAGAAGAGGCTGTCGTTCTTCAGAGGTACCACAAGAGGGTAGTTAAAGAGAGACTGAAATATGTGTAAGCTGACGGGATGGCTGTGCTGTTTCATGCAAGGTGAATGTAGCTGTAAATTATTTTTACGAGAGTCTGATCTGTGAGGAGCTCTCCTGTCCCCCTGCAATAAATGACAGAAATCTCAACGGTGCTGTGTGGCAG